ATTTTTTGAGATTGCTTGAAGACAACTTTGCGCGAGCATTTTGATTTGGGTCCTCATTGTCATCCTCTCTCCTATTTCATCATTCAGGGATGATCTGGTGTCTTATGGGGAAGATCCAACACTCTTTATTCAAGGATTTCGATGTCTTGACCCATGATGGGTGTCCGTCCCACCAGCCATGGTTTTTCTGACCCCTACACAATCGTGCAGTTTTTTGATCCACGTGGGGTTTGAGGTGATTTCGTCTTTCTGACTCAGATTGAAGAGGAATTTAGATAGCCACACAAATTTTTCTCATCAGGCAATGTCACACCCGAGATGTTTAATCTTGGTTCGCTAGGCTTAGAATCTTTGGTTCGCCCTCTGAATGACTAAAATGCACTTTGATAAGAGTTTTGTAATTTTTAACTGCCTACAATTATTATGTAATAATACTAACTATAAAGGATATCATACATGACACTGATTTCATCACTTACCTATATTTCACAAACTAATCTCATGGTCATGTTTGATATAAAAAGTTGGAAACACATTATTCAGAAAATATTTCAGGTAAAAGAATGAGAAAGTTTAACTTGAAGTTATGCACAACTTGGAAAATTTAACAAGCCCTTCTTACCTCACCCCATGTTTGGAATCATATGACGGGCACGTCACTAGGCTAGGCAGCATATGCAGTCGGGTCAAACACACCACCCAAAAGCATATACTTAAGCTTGTTAGAAAGATCGATACATTCATCTCAACCATCATAACCATAACAAATTCATAGAATTATACATAATCACAAATGTAGGAAAACTGATATACATCAAAAGCAAGTATATAGTACAAATACTCTGCGGAAGCAAAGAGTACTCAACAAAAATAATCAACAAGTCCCTCAAATAACTGAACAACACAACATAAAAGGATATCACAAGGCTCATATCTGTTATCCTAGCAGTAAAATGATAGCAAGGTTTCTCAATCATACAAGTCTAGAGTAACAATTGAAAAACCCAGAGACATCATACTATATAGCAACAGGAATAATAAATATAGCCCACATGATAGTAGAAACTGATAACCGAGAAACTGGGATAGACACTGGATGAGCTGACTGACAAGCTGGTCAGTGGAACCTCATCTACTGAAGGTCAGTAGAATCTAGGGTGCCTAGAAGCAAAGATGCCATGTTCGGATTCACCACTAGTGTGAAAATTAAGATGATTAGAAAGTCGTCTAGCAATTAGTAAAATGAACGAAGTGGTTTGTGCACATGTAACGTGTACCATGAATGCATAGCACGTATAAACATAAGAAAAGTAATATAACTATATCACTTTATTTCCTTCATGGATAATAAACATGCATCTCAAAATTTAGATTATAAACAAAACTAGAAAAATCAAATATGTAATAACAACAGAAACCACAAAACGAAAATGCATGTAGATCCTTGGGTATGATGTAAAGGTAGTGTGTGCATCTAACTATTCTTAGATTTTACTTAATCTTATTTAGTAAAAACTCTCATGGGATAATGTGTGTTTGGTGCACTCGCTAAGAACGTTACTTAAATTCTTATTTGACTTGGTGTATGTGCACAAACTCATCTGGCACTGGCACTCAAACACAACCTTGTGCTGCTCATTGACTATAAGATGTCAAATTCTCTCTCACTAATTAAGCCACATGAACTTTTTCATTACTTAGTTATACATGATATGCCATGCACTAGGCCCGAATAACTCAATCCATAGAGAACATCCATCTTTGTGGGTACCCTCTCCGACTAGGTTTCCAAAGCAAACGAAACATCTTGTCAAATATCAAAGCAAGTTATTCATGACTTGATACACACAGACATCTAATCTCTTTCTTGGTTTCTCTTTCTTGATTTATCATGCTTTACACTTATCAAGTTTTGGTGGTGGAGAATCACGAGCCTCCACTCACAGTCGTAATGTATGCTTGCCGAGAACTTTCTTGATTCAAACAGAAAATATTCTTGATTTACTGTTTAGAGAGACACGCCTAATACCCAAAGCTAAGAAATCATCATTATATGTGTGTGTGCGCGAACGCGCGCAGGCGGCGCTTCCATGCGTGTGTACACACACACACACACACACACTGAGAGAGAGAGAGAGAGAGAGAGAGAGAGAGAGAGAGAGCAATATGGAGGAACTTGGTACCAAGCACAAAAAGAAGGGAAGAGAGATGGGCTGCGGTTATGTATAGAGTAGGGGGCATGAGATAGCTGATTACGCTAGAGTTGAGGATAATGCTTAGATGATAAGTAGGTTGCCTTGATTAGGCACAAATTTTAAATGCTTCGGTAGTGGTATGTCTCATTCTCAGTTCACAGCTCTCGGCAACCTGTGTGAGATACGGTCATCGCCCCGTTTGAATGAGTGGGATGAGAATAAAACCGACGCATACTAGCTATAGCAGCATAAAAC